CAGCAGGAGGCTTCATTCTAAGTTCAAGGAGCAGAAACTGTCTTTATTTAGGGAATAAAGGGAGCAGGCGCCCTGTTCTCCTCTACGTTCCTAACCCCCTGTCATTGACTGATGGGGGCTGATGGCGATGCTTACAGCTGCACTCCATGTGGGCCGGGCCAGGTGTGGCACTCCTGGAGAGAGATTCAGCGTTGGGCCACCACGGTCAGGCGTTTCCTCACTGTGAGTCAGTGAGCACCTCCACTCCAGCCCAGTGTCACCCCTCGTCACATGCCCTTTCTGGGTCTAGGGTTTTGTACTGTGGGTCTGTACTACCTGCTGCTGAGGGGAGAACAGAATGCAGAGATAGAGCATCTGGAACGTTCCCTGGGGAACAGTACAATGGAGCCCCCAAAACAGGACTTGGTCAGCCAGCAGTGGTCATGGCGGTCAGCTAGCAGCTCTTTCATGGGAGCAAGGCAGCCACTGTGTTGGGAAGATGCAGAGGACCAATTCTGAATTCAGTGTTGGCCATTAGAGTGTGACCTTGTGCCAGTTCTGAGCCTCATTTCCCCATTTCAGAAATGGGGTGATGGTAACAGCCATCTCACTGGCTCCACAGTCTTGTTGAGGTAAACAGGGAGACTCATGGAAACCTCTCTAATCTGTGAGACACTGCCTGGGAGTCCTCAAGAGAGAAAGTGGAGAATGTGCCAGAATAGGCCTTAGATGGAGGGGCCACGGGAGTGTGTTGGAGTCAATCCCACCTAGGAGCCAGCGCGGTGGAGCTGAAGCTGCCGTTGGAACTGTTTGAGCACGTGGGAGAAGGCCGCTGGGGGCAGCGCGTGAGGCAGGTGGGAGGAGGAGTGGGCCGAGCCTCTGGAGGCACAGGGGACTTGGGAGAATGCACTGCAGCCTCCTCTGGCTCATAGCTGGTGGCATCTTTTCTTTTCCCTTGTTGTTAGCTGCCGTGGGGCTCAGATGTGGGCTCTGCAGCTGTAGGGGTGCCGGGCAGACCGTCCAGGATGTCCACTTCTCCCCAGGGCTTTGCTGGGGCTCTCTAGTCTATCCTCTGGCCTGGGAGTGTGGGAATGCACAGACTCTGCCTGTTCGATTTTTGTGAGTCACTCTATTTTCTGTGTCACCAGTGGTTTATAGCTTTCTCCAGAATAGCAGACATCTTGTCTATATCAAGTTAAGTTAATCTTTGCTGAGATTAAAAGTGGAAATTTTTTTAATTGAACACAGTCAGCTACAGAATAAGAAACAGGACCACAGGCCAAAGAAGGAGGGCCCTGAGCTGCTGCTGAGCCTCTGCACCCTGGAGGGTGGGGCCACCCTCCAGGGGCCACAGATGCCCATCTCTCCTCTTCCCATGAGGCATCCCGGCCCCTTCTAGTTGGGCAGCATGGGGGCTTGCAGAGGCCTCCCCTTCCTGGAGATGGAGACTGAAGGTTAGTTAGCTCCTCTCTGGGACGAACATCTGATGTTCTCCTCAGAATGGGGACCCAGACCAGGCAGGATCCAGCTCTGCCTTGGTTCAGTGGCCAGCTGTCCAGAGCCACCCACATTTACCATGAGAAGCGGCTCCGGGCTACAACTTGGAGGCTCTTCTCCCGCGGGGTCCTTGGGGTCTTCAGGGTATGAGCTTGCCGCTGGTGTAGGATAGATCAGACTGTGTCTGCATCTTTGGACTCTAGGGACAATTAAGGCACCAATCTCACTTTTCCCTCTTCTCTGTGTAGTACGACAATCTCCTGAGCCAGTTTGGCTGCATGCAGGTGTCATCGTCATCCTCCCACTCCCTGTCTGCCTTGGACACGGGTCTGCCACAGAGAGCGGGCAGCAACATCGAGCAGTATATCCATGGCCTGGACACTAATTCTTTTGAACTGGACTTACTGTTCTCTGAAGATGAGAAGAAGTTATTATTGGAGAAGCAGGCCAGTGGAAACCCTTGGTAAGAATATATAGGCATAAGTAGTGCTGCCTTTAGAAATGCAGAGCAGAATGCATGGGAACATGAGGTGTGGTAAACTAAGAGAGCTCAGGCATCCTATCCTTCGTCACCACTGCTTATGAGGCTCCACACCACCTCATGCCTCCCCCAGCTGCTGTCAACACTGTACAGTAAGGACCCTCAAAGAGTCCAACTGAAAGTGGATGTTCAGAGGTATCAGGCTGAGGACGATTGGGTTTGGGACCCTCCTGGCTCTGGCCCATGAGGCTCCGTGGTCCAGGCATGCTGGCATCCTTGTTCAGACATGAATGCAACATGATTTAAATAACCACTGCCCCGTGGTGAGATGTTAGGGATGTTCCAGAGTTTTTGCTCTTATAAGTCATCCTTTGCATATAGCTTTTCCCACATGTCTGAATATTTCTCTTCAGGTGGAGTCCTGGGGAGGCAGTTGGGTGAAGGTGTGCATATTAAGGAGGCAGTGTCTTGTATCCACAATGCCCGAGAACCTCCATTTCCCAGTGGTCATGCCTGCCCTTGAGCGTTTTGATGCTCTAAAAATGAGCTCATGTGAATTGGTATTTGTATTCTTATCAAGGCAAACATCTCCTGTGTTTATTAGCAATTTGTATTTATTTTTCGACATACTTAGTGTTCTTTGACTATTTTTCTTGTTTGCATCTTGTAAAAATTGACTTTTAAACAGGGTTGGGCCTGATTAGTACTTGGATGGGAGACCACCTAGGAAAACCAGGTGCTGTAGGCATAAAAAATAAAAAAAAATAAAAAATAAAAAGGATTTAAACTGACAAAGTCCTTGCAGTCTGTGAGGTCAACCAAGGGTTGCCTCGCCTAAAAAAAATTGACTTTTAAGAGCTATAGATATGATGGATATATTTCTGTTAGGTATTTTGCAAACATTTTTCTTCAGTCTCTGCGGTCTGTTGGTGCATGTTTTTGTATGGAAGTTGCAGATTCTTAAAAGTCAAACCTGTCTGTGTTATTTTGTTTTTCATCTTAGTGATGTTGAAAAGACTTTCTCCACCCTACATTTTCCTTATCCATTTTCATGGTTTCACTGTCCACATAGGCAGAGAGGAGCCCAGGGCTGGGTGGGCGGTGTCTTTCAGGATGGAGTGATGGGGTCAGAGGCTGCGTGGAGATGGAAGGAGAAGCATGGCAGGATTTGAGGGCCCGACTTGGCGTGAGAGAAGACACACGTGACTTAAGAGCAGTAGTGTGGAGGAGGAAACCTAGGAGAAGGTGGCTACAGGAAAAAAGCAGCATGTGGATGAAGCTAGGGTTTGTTTGTGCCCTTAGAATTTGCTCTGTCTAGAAAAAGTGAGTGTAGACGGTGGCCAGCCAAAATATTCAGCACTTCTCAGGAGTCTATTTCCTAAGGTGGTCTCACTAGGAGTATTAATATGTATTGAGCAGGAAGGAAGGGGTTTCGATCAAAACAGTTTGAGCACTGGTGGGCCATGCATTCCTGTGCCTGGGTTGTACAGGAGCTTTCTGGGACACCTGCTGTGTCCTCCGCGAGCTTGGCCGAGACCAGAGCATGCTGAGAAGTGCTGTCGCAGGCATATGGGCAACTCCCCAGAAGGTCCGTGTGCCTCTACCCTGGGATTTTTGAGGCACATGCCCTTTAGCCTGCCTTTGGGCAGGACAGAACAACTGGTGGCAAGTCACAACTTGTGGCCTCTTGGCTGCTTTTTCTTCGGTGTTCTTTCCCTTTCCATTTGGTTCAGGCCCATTTGGAGGCTGGTAACTGTGGATTGCTTGAAGCTTCTCTTGTTTGGCCAGTGGGAGATCTGTCAAGCACTTTGTTCTTTGGAACAGTGGTTCTTAATGTATGGTCCATAGACCAAAATGATTCTAAAACATATTTGTTTTTTTCAGCCTTACTCTCTAAATGTACAGGGGAGTTTTTCAGAGGCTACATGCTACAGGATGACATTATTGCTTTGACAGCTAATGGAATGTGTGTTTTCTTTCCTTTTTTGAATCTTCTAAAGAAGTAGGTTCACCGTATAAACATGTACTGTCGATCGTAAACAAAAAGCCGCCTAGGTATTTTGTCCACAGAAAGGAATCCTTTGGGAAAAAGCAGTATTGTAATCTGGTACATGCAGCCATGGAGAGCCCCCTGCAAGAAGCAGGATATTTTTGACAAAAAGTGAAAAGGAAGTTAAGGGGAGGGACTACTGTTCTGACCATAGAGCTCTAATGTAACCCTAGAGTTTTTCCTGTAGGGATTTGGCAGCTGACACAGGGTGTGAGAGCGCCTCCCACAGGCCCTCCTTGTTCCTATCTTGGTTAAGTCATAAATTTTGACAGTACATTTTTAGAGATTAATAAGTTCTTGGTATTTGCTGGGTTCTTGGTAGCTATCTTTAGTTATACCTGCTATCATTACTGTAACTTTATATCATTTAATAAATCATACCTGAAGTTTTCCTTGTGCCTACATGGAAATGCAATAAGAAGTAAGTATGTTGGCTTATTTTACAAGAATATTAAAAAACTTCTCAAAACAGTTGTACCTACAGCTGTTATTTTAGATTTTAATGATCTATTCTAAGAACACTTATAATATGTTTTCCATGTTTAAGTGTGGGTCATTGACTTAAAAAGGGAGAAGACTTGCTTTCTCAACCCACAGCAGCACCCGCTAAGTCAAAAGATGTGAAAAAGAAGACACCAATGTTACAGACAGTTCTCTGACTCATGAGAGGGAGGGCTCTACTCCAGAGAAACTGGGCAAAACTGTAAATATGTAACAAAAATTTGACAAAAGCTATCTTTCCCTTGGCTTTATAGATGTTAATACCTTGCCGTTTTGTGTCTACAAACAACTTTTTTGCTTACTATTATGCTGCCAGTTAAGTTGCAGCATCATTTTGAGGACAATCATTTAAAGTATTAAGGACAAAGGATTTGAATATTTTAAACACATGTGATGAGCTCTTGCAAAGCCAAACAGTAAAAAATCCCTGAAGCATCTGACAGAGAAGTTCTGTCGTCCACATGTCGGAGAAACGTGTTGGAGAAATGCACACAGTAGCTGGGAGACTAAAGAGCCTCAGGCCCTTGACACTGCCAAGTGCCTGCTGGATGGAGGTCGGTGAGAGAAATCCTGGCACTGCCACTGTCTGTGATACAGTAACTCACTGGACTGAAGATGTGGCTGCAGATGCAAAGAGTGAGTTGGTATCTCTACCTCCGAGTTGTAAATTTGCCTCAAGAGTGGATGAATCTACAGATGGGACTAGACTCGCTGCTTTGTTTGTATTTGTCTGCTATCAACCCCAACTTAACTACTGAAGATGTTCCTTTACCTAAGTGCATGGCAGTAAGCACAAATGATGCCAGAACAGTTGGTGTCGAGCACCTCTTTTGAACCTCATGGTTTGTTCTGGAACAAATGTGTTGACATGTGCACTGGTGGTGCAGAACCATAGTGGGTAAAACCACTGGCGCCAGATTATGATTTCAGGCCACGGCACCAAGGTTCAGTAGAAAATATGGATTCTTCTTAGCCGTATGTTCACAGGGAGAAAAGAAAAGAAGCCAGTCTCACTCATGAGTAGTCATTAAACCTTGATTTTATTAATGTCCTGTATAATGAAAAGGGAAGTGGCCACAGAGCACTTCTGCTGCCAACCCAAGTGTTGAAGTTATCTCAGGAAAAGCACTTATGATGTTTGGCGTCAGAGCTGAACTATCTCCTCTTTTCATAGAAGACCATTTATTTTCACTGGAAGTTTGACAAACTCTGGTTATTTAGACTTGACTGTTTGGCCAGCATTTTTCTGGAAAATGAGCAAAATGAGCCTGTTACTTCAAGGAAAACAGTTGCCAGTATTTGTTACCGATGATAAAATCAAACCGTTCAAGTGAAAATTAGAATTTGGGGAACTTTATCTGTCACTATGAGCTTGACATCTTTCGAACACTTAAAGACATTTTTGAGACTAGATGGTAATATTATGAATAGATGTGTTGATATCGTAGAATGAAATTTGTCAGTATTCGGAAGATCTCTATAACTCCTTGAACCATTATTTTTCAGATGACCAATGTATGACACTATAAAGTCATATAAGGGTGGAAGATCAAAGTGCAAGGTCAATCGATGGAATCTAATGTCACAGTATGAAAAATCATTGTTGGAAATTCAGATTCCCCAGAGCACCTAACCTTTAAGAAGCTACGCTTATCAAGTATGAGTGTAGTATCAAAGAAGACTGCCCACAAATACCTGAAGAGGCTATTAAAATATTCCCTTTTCCACCAACTTAGTGAGGCTGACTCATGTTCTTCAGCCTGGGTGACATAGCACAGTAGAGTGAAGGCAGAGGCAGATGGGAAAATCTAGCTCTCTTGTGTAAAGCCACATATTAAAGAGATTTGCAGATGTATAGCAGTGTTACGCTTCCCATTAATTATCTTTGTTTTGGGGAAAAACTTTTTTTAAGTAAAATGTTATTTATATTAAGATGTAATAGGTCTATTGTTTTTTAATAAGTTAAGTACTTGAAAATGTCTCAGTTCCAATTTCTCATAGTAAATATTAATGGATATAACTCAAGTTAAGGAAGACTCTGTGGGGTCTTCCATAAGGTTTAAGAGTGAGTGTAAAGGGGTCCTGAGACCTGAAGGTTTGAGAGCTGGTATGTTGGAGTAAGCTGGCCACTTGGTCTTCCCTCACCTGCATAGAAGCCAGGTGTGGTAGACCCTCCTGAGGTGGCCACAAGAGCCACATTGGGTCTCTGGCATCTTTACTGGGCTCTCCTGGGGGTGGCTGTGCACTGAAATGGCCCTAGCTTGCTAGTGGCCTCAGGCTTGCATCCTTGAAAATTGCCTTCTTAGAGTCTGGGTTGTGGGGGGATAGGTGAGGAGGAGAGGACCCTGGCTTTGGAATCAGGAAAAAGGGGGATTTTATACTGTCACCCTTGTGAAATGACTGTGGGCAAGTCATGAGACCCTCAGCCCCTCTGCCTACATGTGTATTGAGGTGACGATAAATGTTGCCTGTGGGGGAGGGGAGCCAGAGGCTGTGTGTGATCTCGTGAGGCTGTGGGAAATCCTCTGACCGGCTAACTACATGCCAAGAGTTAGGCATGTCTTTGACTTAGGTCTGCTTTTGGCTCTGAATCTCCAAACGGCACCTGCCCCCCGCCACAGAGGAAAAGGTGCCTAGTGTGGGGTAAAGGGTTTTCTTCAGGAGATTGGGAATTGACCTTTTGAAGTAAAAACATCAAAAAAAAATTTTTAGGTACCTAAATCTTTCAACTTAGATAACTAGTAGCCTATTTCAGCTAATTGGTTAACTAACTGAATGAATGGACTGTGATGTTTAGGCTAATGAGGAAGCTTCTGATCATCTCTGTCCACCCTCTCGAGGTCTGCCTCTTTGGTTCATTTCACCCTAGCGACAGGATCTGGTCAGGAGCCCAGCATCAGCTCTTTGCCATCTGGGATACTAGTGGCTCTCCTATGTCATGGGAGAGGTGGCTGCGTGCTGGTGGG